GGTTTCACTCCAAGTAAGGGTTTGACATGGGTATAAACTTATAGAACCTTCGTGTACGAAAGAAAATACTGCTTACTTTACAAATGGTTGGAGATGTTTTTTTAGAAACCTTACTTTTTTCAGTTTCTCTTACACGGCTAGGTGTTGTGCTAGAATACCACTATTATCGTATTTGTAGATCTTAATAACTATAAAGAGGTCTGTAAGCAGAGCTGTCGAGGCCCACAGCGGCATTATCCGTCCATCGCTAGCCCTTGTTCGGTAGAAGCTGCAGTGGTTTCAATGCCTTGCTACTGCCACTTGACGCAGCGTCGAGACGCTGAGGATCCTGGACAAGGTGATTTTGGAGCTCTCGGTATTTTTCACGAAGTGATAAGTCCGCTCGTATGTGTCGTTCGTTTTGGGCCGGCCGCCGCGGGCGTCACTAGTGGTGAACTCGACCGGCCCAAAACTTCCCCAAGCAGAGCGGAGATAAGTAAATAAGTGGACGATAAGTAGACGAGCAGAAGAGTAGAGTATCATGTAGGTAGAGCAAAGATAACCGCAGCAGCTCACTCAACGCCGCAACGGCAAAATATAGTGCCCTCGGGCGGTGGTCGCCGCCTCGCTGAGAAATTGTGGTTGTGAGCTTTTGAAAGAAACAATCTTTCCGGTGATAGAAAATGATAACCTCACTCAAATCGTATTACCTTCTTAAACAGAATTACAAATTCTGGATGTGCTGGAGTTTAGTGTGGTAATGTATCTTATACTGGGATAGCCTGAATATGCTGGACAGTCCAAGCCGAATTTATGTGAAGCCGGTTACTGAAGCCGGTTTTCAGGCTGCGGTAGAATACCGGTATCTCAAAATTGCTTAGAGCGGTCAATCCCGTGCATTGAGCGAAGCATGGATGCTTGCCCCAGGATTGATGGCGAAAACGGTCATCATTTTCAGTATGTCGCGTCGGTGCAGGTTCGAGCAGGCCCATGCGACAAAGCGTATGGAGCGGAGACGAGCGTGGCTGGATCACGAAGACCATGGAGACTGCACGGCTGATCAACGGTCTGTTGGTGCTGACGAAGGAGAGGAGGCTTCTCGGCCGAGGGGGAGGCGTGCTCAGCGGCAAGAGCGACAACACACTGAGGCTTTGACAGAGGAAAGCCGTTTATGAAGAAACGCTCAGCAGAGAGAGAGAGGCAAGCTCGCCAGCGCAACCAAGAAAACAGTGCAGATGCTGTAATATATGGTAGCCGATGTCTCGCCGAGGAAAGACATCTAAGAAGAAATGCTCAACAAAGGGAGAGACGAGCTCGCCAACGTGACCGAGAATACAACACAGACAGAGACGTCTCGCGAGGCTTAAGCGAGCGTGTACTGGACGCCCGCTCCCTGACTATGAACGAGATCGAATGGCTCGCTGAGAGCCAACATTATTTGCGTGATCCGCGTCTAGCATTGGCGTACTATCATTGCTGAGGCGTCGACCCTGCGTCTTTTGTTTTCGGGGACGAGAATCTTCGCGGGGAAGTCGAAGTGGCGGCACGAGAGCGGGTTTCGGCGATGCTCGGTGACTTTCCCGGCCCCCGCGTTATTGTTGAGTGTCAGCAATTAGTAGCATCATGCGGGTCCGAAGCAACTTCCGCTTGAGCTTGTGCGGCGTGTGGACGGATTTTGCTGCAAACAGATTCGGACGGTGTCCAGTTTTCATCGCTGTCGTAGCTGGATACTGTTCTCTTGTCTACTACCGAGCGGGGGTTATTGTTTAAAGAAATACCGGAGCCGGCATCACGGTGTTATCGACAGCTTTTTTTCCGGAGGAGACATCTATTATTTGATATCCGAGCTGGTGCGAGATCCAGAAAAAAATCCTCTTTGTCACAAATGCACAAGCGATCCACGTAAGAACGAATTTAGCGTCGCGGTTGGTCACGATTATGGGCGTATCGCGATGCTTCCGGTTCTGACTGACGCCACACTGTGGTGCATATCTCCTGCTCGATGCTTCCGGTTCGAGCTTTCGTTGTCCGGTAGACACTCAAGGGGCCACGCGATCTGCTTCCCCACAAATGGACCTTTTGAGCTTGCCCGGGAACTACCAAATGTGCATTCTAGCAGCATGCCTCGTGTGACGTTCGTCGGGTCTCGTGAGGCGTGGTCTGGCCAGCGGAAAAGACACTCGGCATTGTATACGATTCCGCCCGACGACGTGTACAAGTGGTTGGCTGTGTTGAGCGGCATCAATTACGGCTTTCGAGAAGAGGGCATTCAAATTGTCGATACCCCCAAGCGGCGGGGGCTTCTGAGAGCGATGGCTTCTTCCGTCGAAGCCTGTGTTCATATGTCTGAGCCCGCCGTTGTATCTGCTATTGATGAAGAGACCAAGGGTGATAGCGGTGTACGCGATGAAAGTTTGAGCGGTGTGGACGACACAGTGATTGTTCGCTCGTCCGCCGTTCTCCAGAATATTGAGCAAAATGATCCGGCGGTTCTTCACGAGGTAATAGATGCTATGGCTGCCACTTTCGGAGACACGCGGCCGGGACAGGACAATGAGGCGCCGGTAATTCTCAGAAAACGCGGTAGGTCCCCATTTGTAGAATGGGTCGAAATTGCGAAGCTATTAGCTAGTGTTTTTCCAGATTTGTTTTGAACAGGCTCGCGTCCTCTTTCGTCCAGGCCTCTTCCCCAACGTTACGTCGACCACTTTCTGCGCTACTGGGATGGCCGATAACCATCCCTCCGGAATCGACGGAGGCAAAACGTCTTAACGCAGGGCTACTGAGGCTGCTTTCTTTGGTGGGAGGTAGTGTCCCGTTCTCGCCGTTTGGGAGGGCGGCGACACGGCCGAAACTTGGCGCGATGCGCGTATCGACGACCTGAATGCCCTCTTCTTGTAATACGTTAGTGATGCCGCTCAACACAGCCCACCACTTGTACACGTCGCCGGGCGGAATCATTTACCATGCCGAATACCTTTTCCGCTGGCCAGACCACGCCTCACGAGACCCGACGAACGATTCTCACCTCTCGTCTCGGCTTAGGGCTCCCCTCTATTTTGTTAATGCATTTACAGTCATGTGCGTCAATATGTTAGGGTCTACAACTTATATATTTAAATACATGACATGTATACATGTACATTATAGGACTGTCGATCGGGCTAAGGGACCAGGATTTGCAGAGCCTACTGACATACACGTACCGTCGATTTATTGCTATCCCAGCCTACGCTCCAGCCCTAGTCTGTATATGATTATTAGAGCAGATACGGTAAAATTTAACCGATTGACAAGTGATCGAGTCTAGTTTTAAAAATGAGGTGTTAAAAACTGCAAAGCAGCAAGAAGATAAAAACACTCAGGACAACGAATCCCTCCCGGCTGATTGGAAATGACTACGAATTTGTAAGTTTGCATTTTAGTGCGTTTAGGAGAACAAAAGGCCACGCTGATGGTAAGGGAGTTGGTGCGAAGCCTTTGGCTTTCCAGGACTACTAGCACTGCGCAGCAGCACTACCAGCCCAACCCTCTAGTTTTAGATGGGATTTCGTCTTCAACTGTATAAGCGAATCACATACTACAGGTACAGTACTGCACCCCGTTTTCGCGCCCTTGGACCTTTGATAAACTTCCGGATGTGATGATCCTAAATCCAAATGAACGATTGTTTGTAAGCTAAAATCTGATTTATTTGCAAATCCGATACGGTCCCCCCCCACCCCCCGCGAAAACGGGGTGCAGTACTGTAGTGGCAGTCTTAAGCTGCTATAAAGCTCTCACCGGCCAGACGGCAATGACATTTCTTGCAAATTGAAGCTACTTAGATATCAAAGTCCAGAGTGCGAGAGCAGCTCCTGCGAAGTTTCGTTTCTAAAAAACGAATTAGCGATACTATAAGAATCAATTTTAGACGGCGTTTTTTATCTCCACATTTGGATATTTTTCCGACGGCAGATATTGTGGGTTATACTTCGGGCGCGAGCCTGATGGATAAAATAATTTATCAACTTCCTATCAGTCTTCATGCCAGGATCAAATGGATACGTTTTCTATTTTGACCAATGATCAACGCTTGTTGAGACTGAATGAACCAACCCTGTGTTCTAAATATAACCGGAATTGACAATTACTGTAACACCTAACGAGTTGTGTTCCGCAAAAACAATTCGCTGAGGTGTGTAACATTTAAATATAAATTAACTCGATGAAGTCTGTGTAATACTTGAGTAAAATTGACGGATATGTCAGCCATTCTTGCTAGCCATGCAGCTTCCAAACGAGCAATGGCTCTTTTAGGGAATCGGCAGCCAAAACAAAATTGATACTATTTTATATACATTCATCTATTTTTCGTGACCGCGGATGGCTCCAAACACCAAAAAAATAAAATGAACGGAATTACAAGAAAAAAAGGCAAGACATCTACTTTCTACAATCGGCATTAAATCTCGCACAGAAAAACATAGTGAAAGCTTCTAAGAATGGATCAAACGCTCCATAAGTTTTAATTTGACACACTCTAAACGGACGACATGAAAATGCAAAAAAGAACAAGATGAGAAAACGTAATTTCAGCTTGCAAACAGTGTAAATAAAAAAAATTTCAAGGTTGTCGTCCGAGTGCTCCCGCACTCATTCTTTAAATCGTAGGTAGCGTTCTGGACTGCATGAGCCCGGGTTTCAGTCCGCGCGGCTCTTAAATCGCAGGTTATTATTTAGATATCTGCGCAGTAACCTACAACTGTCAGAAAATAGGCGGGAGATATCAACTATTATCGATTCAAATGTACATGTACATACCTGCGCTGTTCAGAAGTTGTAAAAGCGTCCTAATGGTTAGGATCAACGCATCCCAAGTTTCTCAGGTTTATTTTTAGTTAGTAAAGCTACATCGAGGTATACGAAACGAAAAATGAAAGCAAGATTAGGTGAGGTGTCTGCCTTAAATCTGACGGTGCATGTTCCTCATTTCTATGATCGCTACGTAACCGCCGCCTCAACTGCATTGCCACACGACCTCATTCCAGCTTTTTCCCGACGTGGGCTGCCTTCCAATACGCAGAGAATAAGGGCGTAAAGTAATGGGCATCTTCCGGCGTCAAGACCACCTTCTTTTCCGCGATGTACATTTTCACTTTGCTGGGAGTGAATCTCCGCTCATCCATCATTTGGAAAATCGTCATCGTCCGTGCCATCATGTCTTTGGAAACATCATCAGCGTTTTTTCCAGCGAGCATTGCTTTAATTAATTCGTCGATGTGGTCTGCTTGCCCCAATCGTTGGAGCGTGGGTATACCGTCCATTGCGTCAGCAACCTTCCCGACGGTCCAGATACTTTTTAGCTTCTCAGCAAATGCTTTAACAGCTGTTGAAACATCTCTCTCTTCGTTAGTTGACTTTTTATCATGTTCGGTGCCATCATTGACATCCTCATGCTTTCTCAGTAGCCGCTGGACGTTGTTGGTGACATGGCCAGCAACAGCAGGATCTTGGACAATCCCAGATCGAGTGGTTGCGAGCGTTTCGATGTCGACAGCACCAGTACCATGGGCAAGTATAGTAACAGTGACCTGGATAGCCAGCAAGATGATGAACCCGCGCATCGAAGGTTGGGTGTAGATCGAGGAGAAAATGAAGAATGGTTCAGAATGACTTAGTGCTCTTGGCACGCTTTGTTGATTAGTCAGGGTTGGGTGTAACATGCCTAATCGATCAGCCTGTATCTTACTTTATAAAATCAAATATTACGAGCTTTTATACAGTACTGCACCCCGGGTTCGCCCCCTTGGACCTTTGATAAACTTCCGGATGTGATGATCCTGAATCCAAATGAACTATTGCTTGTATGCGAGAGTCTGATTTATTTGCAAATCCTATATGGTCCACCCCCGCGAAAACGGGGTGCAGTACAGTAGCTATTCGGTTCGTAATGCTAGCTCAGATCAATCTCATTTATTGTGGTCCACATTTGGACTTTTAATTGGACAAAACACTATTCTATCTCACTAGCCGAGCGCCGCCGCTACGCGGCGGTAGTGTATGACTTACCTTCCTCCGCTTCGGCGGGATAACTATTGAAAAAACCGCTGAACCCATGTGTACCTAAATCGATTTTTTTAATTTATTAATTTGGGTCAGCATCATGCTTACCTGATTTAAGAAATAAATATTCTAATGATCTCATAACAAAATTCTTGATACAATCTCTTTTTTATTGCTGGCTATCACTGCATGTTCATCATCCATCCAAAACCACTAGCACTTCAAATAAGATTTATACAAACGCTACACAATATGTTTAGTTTAGCGTCGTGCTCGATATCACGGGCCATTTCTGAGCCGCTGTGAAGCTTAGCTCACATCAGCGCAAACGATAGTAATGGCCTTTCAAGCTTGCACTACTTATTATCACCTGCCTGTACTGCATATTTCAGCTTGTAAGTAATTAAAGATCGTTCACTTCTCATATCAAACTCAATGAAAGCTAAAAAAAATTGTATTATGTTTAATGCATGTAGCGTCTGATTCAGAATTAGAACTCGAATCTGTGCCAGTTATGATTGAAATATTTAAATATTGTGTCGCTTAACCAACTGTAATTCACACCTTTCGTGTTTTGTTGCTGTCTTACCGCTCAATTTATAACAGTATCATACGCCCCTGTCGACGACACGCCCGCCAGTTAAGTAGTATCGGATTTTGCTGTTTAAATATCTATTAGAAAACAATGGCTTACAGCAGTAACACATATGAGTTCATTTTATTCAATCTAAAACGATCTATCTTTATGGATCAAGTGACAACGTTCATTAGCAGCGTTGTTCTCACTTGTACATGTACTACGATTTCGCAGCTCAGTCAGTTACCTCACTCTCAGACAATTTATTAATATTTCTACATCAAAACAATTGTAGTAATTAAAGTCATTGTAGCTTGCAACAACTATTAAGTACAGCGTATTACGTATATTACAGTATGCCTCGAAAACACGCATTCCTAAGTGTACGCTAAGCACCTCGCAGCATAGGAAGCGTCTTTAGGGGCTATTCATTTGAGAAAAAGTAGCTTTGTTGGCACTCAAATATAAAAAGCAACATGCATTATTAAAAAAGTAAATACTTCGTAATATTAAAACGATGCCGCCTTTGAATAATGGATACATGTAGTCTTGTGCAAATCGCCATCGTGAAGACCGCCTCCGAAAAATTTAATATTGCAAGACACACCATACATCAAAGACGTTAAAAGGTCAGGGACGCAAGGAAATTTTTTCCTGACGTCTCTGACCTTTAAACATACATGAAGGATATGCGCAGACTTGAGCAAGTAAGTCAATGTGAATGTACTTTTTGTGCTATTGTGGTGTTGAGCTAGCTTTCTTACATTAAAAATACGGAGCCGTTGTGGTAGACGCACTGGTTGAACCGCTAAGGAAAAGCGCATCCGTACTATAATGTCAACTATTGCTGCTTGGGAAAAGCTAGAGAAGAAAACGATAATTCGTAGCTTCGAAAAGGCTATCCCGAGGTACATATCCGAAAGTAATCGTCTGAATATAATCCCTTTTTTATTTCTTTCACATGTTTTTACTGTGCTGTTTCTTTTTGTAGTGCGTTATTAGCCCATCAAATGAAGCGCCGGATTTTTGTGTCGGGCTCTGTGTTTTTTCTTTTACTATGGCTGGATGCTATTCAGTGGTGTCGGATTTCTCCGTCGTTGTCTGTAGTCCTAAACTATCAATGCTAGCACGGTGTGTCCGTCCGTCACACGAAACGCTCAGGTTTTTTAGCTTTATCATTGGCTGGCGAGCGGGGCGAAGTCGGCTCCAATTGGTTAAAACTTAATTCTGTAGCTTACATCAAAAAATGTAAGTGGTTCATAGAGCACGTCCCCCACATTTAGCGATCCTTAAGGCCTCGCGCTTTTGCTTCATTGTGAAGCTTCGCTCAACGCGGTTCATCGCGCCAAATGACTTGACAATTACCGACGCCCAAGAAGTGTTTTATCTCCAGCCATTCATCATTTTTTTGTAAGTAATTGGATTAAAACTTCTTGTATAAAGATATGATTGGATAAGAATACAAAATTATTTACTATGGGAAAGAGGTGTGCTCACAATCACTAGTCGGATTTTTGTGTCGGTCAGATTACTCCGTTGCCTGTAGCGATCTGGGCGTCCGCTCCGCGGACTCTAGGGCATGGTTAGTTGGTGTAAAGAGGGTCGAACACCTTCGCTGCGCTGCGGTGGGCTTAGATTTCTTACTCAAAGCAAAACTATATAACATATATGTAAACCATGTTCTACTGATTTTGCTTAAAAACACTTTACTCAATATGTTGGTGTTCAAATGTTCAGTCTCAGTATCGTGAAGTCAAGTTTGGCAACATCACATATAGTTATGTATGCGTGGCAACCGGCTGTTACAGAAAGATTCCCGTGTGCTAGATCTACCTCGGATGCATATTGCTGGCACCACGCTGAAGTGCGCTTCGTTGCAAAGTCACTCTCTTATTCAAAAGGTTGGTTATTATCCTTTGTGCGCCAAGCCTCAGCATCGATCAAGATTCCAGATAAGTTTAGCGATAGTAGACACGCCTATCAACGCATATTGGGATTTCACTTCATAGGGTGAATTGGATGACAGGTACTATTTTGCCTAGCAGTAGGTTTACGTTACCATATTGCTGCTTGCAAAGCAAGCCTCAGACTGTATCCTGAGAGGTCTTTTTTGTTATATCGTAGCGCAAGGAGCCTCACGCCCGTACATACATGCATATACATCTAAAACTACCCTACTGCTATTATACAGCCAGCGCACCTTGTCCTCGCCGCGCCGTCGCTCAAAAATCCAATTTTGTGTCTTGAATGAAAAGTGAGTCGAAAAATATTGTCCATATGAGATCAAGCCAGAAAGATAGGCGCGGTTGGTATGATGGGACGAAACTGTATTAGACAGGCCCAGTGTAACCATGCGAAAAGACAGGAAAATAGCAGCAAGAAATGAACGGACAGGCTGCAAGGTTAGAAGCGGAGCGATGCGATTGGCCAAACGATTTAAGCTTTCCATGTGTCATCGAAATAGCCTAAAAATCTCTATTTGATCAGTCTAATGAGGCAGGGGTTAACATTTTTACTACTGGGTAGCTCAGACCGAAGTCCAAACGCTCGCCTTTTGATAGGGCTCGCCCAGCAGTAGCCGCCAGCAATAAAGCCAGCAGCCGCCGCCAAGTAAGACCCCCAACTATTGGGTTGAAACGGTTCACGTGGAAAGTTTTTAGGTGTGGTAATGATCCTTCCGCAGGTTCACCTACGGAAACCTTGTTACGACTTCACCTTCCTCTAAATGGCGAGGTTTAAAAAAGTTCCCATCAATCCACTCGCAATAAAGCAAACAGATGGATTTGCCCTTCGTAGAGGTCCGGATAGATGAAAAAAATATATATAAACCGCAATTGGGTTTAATAGAGTCAAGCGATTTGCAAAAGTTGACGTAATACAGACTAAAACAATATAAATCGCAATTGGGTATAATAGAGTCATATGATTTGCAAAAGTTGACGTAATACTGTATGATAGGGGTCTCTACCTTATACTGTTTCAGCAAATGTTTGCAAATTATGAGCAAAACATACATATGACGAATTTTATTAATATTTGGTAGAGATCATATTGTACTCGTAACAAATGGACAGTAGTTAAAGGTTTATAGTAACTCAAAAATTGGTGAAGCTATTGTCAATTCCGTCCTATTTTTTTTACTTTATTACGTACTGGCCGAATCGCACATCAAACCCACAGGCTGATCTGATTAGTCATAATAGCAGCTAAACAAGTTCGCTTCAGCAACTTTCCACTCGCACTTCTGCTGCGACGTCTTGCCTGGCGGAGGTGTGCAGTATTATGCAAGGGTGGTGCAGCGTCTAACGTGGTGTAGATGTGTAGATTTATACATATTAATGTCATTAAGCTAATGTTATTGTTTGCAATGTTAGACAGAAAAGCCTAGTCATAACTCTCTCGTATCAATGGAGGAAGCCGTAACCAATCCGAAATGACCACCCCAACACTGTATTTCATTGTCTCTTCGGATGTTATTGCCTCGGATATTCGCGTAGAGACCTTGCTCAAATTTATCACAAATCGGCAAAGACGATTGAGAACTGGATCTGCAGCGGGGCTGCCGTAGCTTTAGCGTCAGAGGAAGACGTTCGACTCAAATAGTCACTAATACTAAGTTCCTTATCCAAAGGACACTTACAGCCCAAGACCAGGGCTCAAAGTTAACACCTTAACTTTTATGCTTCAAAACCAGAAGTGTTTTATTTACTATTATTGCGGCCAAGCCGCCTAGGGGTAAATGTATCTGTTTAACTATCTAGCATAGTTAAACCTAATCAAATGCATAACGTGTGGCTTTCGGCCAACGTACTGAGAGACCTTGTTAACTCTCCAACTTATGTACTGAGAGTTTGTTAAGTCTCCGGGTACTTCGTACCCCTGTGTGTTCCACACCATGTAACCCCGTTACAGGATCAATGTCTACGAGGAAACCGGGACCTACCAGCATGATTAAGCAAGTTCAACGCGAGCACTTACAAAGGCACATCGATTGTAGCTATGTGAGTTCTACAAGATTTAGCCGCTAGTCTATTTAGAAGAGGCCCGGAAGCTTTCCTTAAGGCGGAACGATGAAGGACCACTCATTTGTGTTGGTCGAGGGCGTTCCCGGAACGGACGAGTCTTTGAGAGTCGCGAGGAGGTTGTGTTCCGTGATGGATGGAACGGCGCTCGTCGAGGTGTGTAATGCTTCCGCGGAAGATGTAGAGATCAAGTCGGGCGCGTACGTCGCTACCGTGACTATCGTTCCAAAGTCTGCGGTCACTGCCAGGTCTTCTAAGCCAGGTGGAACGACGAGGAACATAAGCGCAGTGCTGAGTACGGTGATAGAGAACGTGACCGCCAGAGTTGGAACGAGCGAGGCTGAGATAAATGGCGCCATGGACAACAGCGAGGAAGAAGACTTCGAAGGGGACGTTGAAGACTCGTCACTCGGAGCAGAACAGAGGGGCCTCTTCGCGAAGATGTTGTAGGACCTGACGGACTTATTTGTTGAATCCTCTAAGAAGCCTGGGAGGACGGATCTGCTACGATTTTACATTGACACTGGATCCCACGCGCCAATAAAACAGCCTTCGTACAGAGTGTCGAAAGCTGAACGAGATGTCATGGAGGCCGAAATTCAAGAGTACCTGGATCTCGGACTTATCAGACCGTCGACAAGCCCGTGGACTAGTCCTGTGTTGATGATACGGAAGCCTGGTGGTGGCGTAAGATTCGGCATCGATTATCGGAAACTAAACGCAGTGACCGTGAAGGACAGTTACCCAATGCCTTTGATCGACGACATCCTGGAGGTTCTGGGGAACGCGAAGCTTTTCTCCACGATGGGCATTGCTTGGGAATATTGGAACGTTCTAATCGATCTCGACAGCGTGGAAGAAAAGGCTTCCACGAGCAAATTCGGCCTCTACGAGTGGTTGGTTATGCCGTTTGGCTTATGTAACGCCGTGCCTGCGTTTGTGCGACTGATGGAAAACGTTCTCGTTGATCTCAAGTGGAGGACGTGTCTCGTCTACTTAGACGACTGCGTTGTCTTCAGTGACGACTTTCCGACACATTTTATTCGGGTACGACAAATTCTTGAACGTTTCCGAGCTGCTGGGTTCAAGTTGAAAATGAAGAAGTGCCATTGGGGAGTGACCAAGTGGCGTTCCTAGGGCATACCGTGACTCCGACTGGAATACTACCGAACCCTGAGAAGGCGAACGCGGTGATGAACATCGGGAGGCCACACGACTTGGACACGGTTAGAGCATTCCTGGATCTGACAAGCTACTTTCGACGCTACATACCGGGATTCGCTGTAATTTCTGCGCCGCTGGGACGCTTGAAGCAAAAGGACGTCGATTTTAGATAGAACGACGACTGTGAGGGTGCGTTCCGTCAACTACAACGAGCACTAGTGAAACCACTGATACTGGTGTATCCGGACTTCAAGAAAAGGTTCAAGCTCTACGTGGATTCGTCCCACTTAGCAGTAGAAGCATTTCTGATGCAAGAAGTCGGCAAGAGAGACAGGGCAATCGCGTACGCGAGTAAGATGCTGGTTGAATCGCAACGGAGCTGGGCTAACAAGACAAGTGGAACGACAGAAATTGAGTGCTGGGGAATCGTATGGTCGACACGCAAGTTCCGGTGTTATCGGAGTCACGGGAAATTCGATTTGTACACGGACTATCAAGCTCTCACGTGGAACTTCGGCGAGACAACAAGAACGCCAAACGCCAAGCTGGCACGATGGGCTATGGAGCTGTCGCAACTACGGTTTAAGATATACCACAAGCCTGAAATGTCAATGGGACACGCTGATGGTTTGTCGAGACTGTATCACCGACCGGACGCTGCTATTGTTAGCGCCATTCGGATGACGGACCTTTTCAACGACAGTGAGGAAGAGACTTCTGACTTGCAAGTTTTGATTTCAGACGATGTGCAGACTCGATCTGGAACGCAAGTCTTAAACGGAACGCTGGGTAGGATCGCCACCGACGTTCTAATCCCAGTCGGGGAGCCTACCGAGACTACGGATCCTAACGGAGAGACTGAGAGAAGTAACCAAAAGACAGAGGACGCGTCTGTAGCTGTCGAGCCTCTCACACAAGCGGAGCAGGAAGAAGACTCACAAGGAAGGGCTCTGCAGGTGTGCACATCACCGACAGACGTGTTCGGGTTAGACTACGAGAAGCTCGTGGCGGAACAAGAACGCGTACCCTAATTGCGAGCGCTGACGAAGTTCCTGAAAGTTGGAGCCTTGGCCCTTGACCCACAACTGAGCGTGGGTGTGCTAAAGATGTCTCCGCACTACTTGATCCGAAACGGAGTTCTGGCACGTCACGTCTCGTACATCTAGGAGCATGTGCCGGTGCAGCCAGATCTGTGTGCGCTCCAACTGTCCCGCTACCGTTTATTGAGACAGTCCTGCACTATTGTCACGCCGACGTCTTCTCCGCACACTTGGGGAGAACGAAGACGACGGTCAAGGTGAGACGGCACGCATATTGGCATGGGTGGAGGAAGGACGCGATCGAGTACGTGCGTGAATGATCTATCTGCAGTGGTGGAAAGGGACATAGACCTTGGAGAGCTGGACTGATGCAGCGAATGCCAGTTCAGGACTTGTCGGGCCCATTCTCGCTACTCGTAGTCGACGCAATTGGACCTTTGGTCGTCACGCCTCGTGGCAAACAAGTACATTCTAGTGTTTGTGGAATATTTCACAAGATGCGTCGAGGCATTTGCGGTCGCTTCGCCGAACACGACCTCGTTTGTGAACGCTATGATAGAGGGCGTTATCTGCCGAGATGGAGTACCGGAACGTCTACTAAGTGATCGTGGCTCCAACGCCACGTCCAATCTGGCCAAGTCACTGTATCAGACGTTGGGGGTTAAGAGGTTGCTCGGAGCGGCGTACCACCCGCAAACACAAGGTCTGGTGGAACGTCGGAATGGAACGTTGATGGGTATGCTACGTGTGTTTGTGAGCGAGACGCAGACGGATTGGGACGTGTACCTGCCAAGGGTCCTATTTGCGTATCGAACGGCGTATCACGAAGGCCTCGGTGACACCCCGTTCTTTAGTCTGTACGGGCGTGATCCTGTGCTACCTATCGACTTGGTGTTCCTGAACACTGGGAAGGGCTGGAAGACTAACGAAGTTGCGACGTACCGAAGCAAATTGTATCGCTCGTTGCACGACTCGCGTCGTCTTGTGAAACGGGAACTACTCTAGGCTCAGGATTGACACGAACAGAGGTTGGACAACCAAGTGAAGGTGACATACGCAGAAGGAGACGCTGTCTGGGTGTACCAGTACATTAGAGCCCTGGTGGTGGAGCGCAGGACGAAGAAGGTGACGTTCACCTGGCACGGTCCCTACCGTGTTGTTGGCCAAGTCGGCGAGAACGCTACAGGCTTCCGACGCACCCGAACAAGGTCGTCACGGTGAGCGTTAACCGTCTAAAGCGCTTTAAGAATACTGGAGCCGACCCTACGCAGACGAGAAGCCTGATAGAGTCGAAGAAGAAGAGAATGAGGAAGGTACGGGTCCATTGGACGTCGAGGACTTGCCGTCGGCGAGCTTTGTGGATCGTCTGTCTATTGGCGAAGAAGAAACTGCGTTCTCGGGAGTGTCATCGCCGATAGTGGACGTGATCGCGAAGAGAGTCGAAAAGCGTGAGTTGCAGTATCTCCTACTCACCGCCACGTAAGAGACGTTCTGGTTGTCTCGAGCGGCGTTAGCACCGGAATTTGGAACGATGGTACATACGCTGATCGAA